TGCTTAGCGAGCCGACAACACACTAGACAGCTGACAGATGAGGGGCTTTACGTCTTCCCCCGACGGCTGCTGACCGGCCTGCTGACAGTGACCAGAATTCTCCGCAGCTCTCTGGAGGCTGTCCAGCCGCCTGGCGCAGGGCCCAGTGCCTGCTTTCACACTCTGTGTGGATCCAGACACCTTCCTTAACCTCTGCGTTCCTCAGTGTCTCCATCTGGGGGGTGGGGGCAGCCGGAGCCGTGTGAAAGCCCATGGGGGGCTGATCTTGTGCCCTGGGGAGTCACCAAGACCGGCCAGCAAATCTAGAAGCAAATCTAGAAGCCCAGTTGGGAGGGGAGGAAAGATAGACATGGTCCCAGGGTCACAGTTTTACCACTGAGTCCACAACACAGAACTGCTAGACCCCCTGCCCGAACCCCGGCCCCGTGCTCCCCGCTCCTCTGGAAGCCTGGATCCTAGAATTCCCTAGATCCTGGCTGTGCCTCCAAACCCTCCCCTGCCGGCCCTCTGCCCTCGAAGGGATTCCCCTATCCTGCAAAACTCGTAAAAGAATCAATATCTATTTTGTGGCACCGAATTTTTTTAAACACGATGTATTTCTGTGTCGTCTCTCTCTGCCTAGATTGCTGGGGGCACGGTGTCTGTCCCCTTCCCCTCTACACTCTTCTGCACAGTATGTGTGTCTCATTTTTACCTTTCCTGGATTAGTTGAAAGAAACCAGAATATGTTGCCCCAAGATACGCCTTTTTGACATAAAAATTATTCTGAGCCGAAGGCAATTAAGAAGGAGCAACCCCCCCCCCAAAAAAAGCTCCTCCCTTTTCTGTCTAAAGGCAGGAAACAAATTCCCCTTTTACTGGCGATGATGGACTCTTGGCCCAGAGATGCACCGGGGGATCTGCAAACACGCCTTCCTCTCCCATGGTCTGCTGTCCTTGGAAACCTGAAGCTGCTCTCCTGTATCCTGTTAATTCTCCGCATGTTTATTGTTCCTGCCTGAAGGTGCTACGTAAGAGGCAGATCCGAACTGCTGCTTTGTTACTTTTCAGATTTTCACCATCTGATATGCTGCACGCACATGAATCAACTATTTGATTTTTTTGTTGTTGTTCATCTACCTTTTAGTCAAGGAGTCCCACCTGAAAACCCAAGATGGACAGAGGTGAAGTGCTGTCCCCTCCCACCCCACAGTATCCTATATCCCAGATGGCAGGATGCCATCAATGGCTAATCGTTTCCAAAGGGCTGGTTCTTAGAAAGGTACCAACCAACCAAAGAAATCTCAACCTTTGAGAATCCAATTGAAGTCAGATTTTACCGGCTACACATGCTGTTCACGGGCCTATTTGACAGAGGTTTCCTGAGCTCTTCCTGTGTTCTAGGTACCACCCCAGACTGGAGGGCAAGTGTGGCACCCACCAGGCCCAAGTCCCTGCTCCTGGACCTTCCTTCTGGCTGGCGGCCAGGGGAAGGATGAGGCAAACAAAGTATACAGAGTATCCTGCTGGGGCAGGGAGAGGGGGGAGCCAGGTGGGGACCTGAGTGAGGTCATCAGGGAAGGAATCAAGAAGCACCCTGGGTGCTCAGGACCCGACAGGGCCTCTCAGCTGTGTGGGAGGGGTTTCCAGGCAGACGGCATGCAGGTGCAAGTCCCCTGAGAACAAGCCCAGTGTACCTGGGGAGGGGGTACCGAGAGGTGGGATTAAGGTACACCATGGTTCTCGTGTAGCCAGATAGGGTTGGGATCCCCGCAAAAAGAAAGAAAGGTGAAACATGGCTTTCCTGACAGGAGAGGAGATGTTTTGGGCTGCCAGCCTGCCCAGCGCTCTTCACCCAGAACACATTTCAAGCAGAACCACCTGGGATACATTAAAATCCCAGAAAAACAGACCTAGGCAGTGAATGATTTGAAGGGAACAAAAGAATGTAGACTGGATGGCCACCAGCAGGCCAGGGGTGGGGACATGTGATCTGATGTAGTTCACAGCTCTTGGCGGTGGCAGGAGGGGGCGGGGAGGGCCCCAGAAGCCAGCGGCCCAGGAGAGCCCAGGCAGGAGTCACTGGCAGATGGGAGGGAGAAGGCAGGATCAGGTGCCGGGTTCTGTGGGTGAGGATCCTGCAGGGTGGAGGGGAGACAGGAAAGTCAGAGGTCTGAGCATGGCGGCCAGGCTACAGGCAGCAGGATTCTGGAAGGAGCTCGGGAAGTCTGTTTTGACCATGTCCGGTCAAAATCTCCATTTGGAGATTCTCAAAATTCATCTGAGGCCTGTGAAGAGGCAACGAGATCCCTGAGTACTTGTCCAGTGTAAGCCTGGGTTCGGCTCTCGATCGACTGGAGACCCTGCCGACACCGAGGGGTCTCCTGGGTGTTTGCAGGTGGATCAGCTATCCCTGGAGGTCAAGCTAGGGGCCTGCTAGGTCTATAACCTGGTAAACCTCCCCTGACACTTCTCTGTTTCACTGTTCACACACACCTAGTTTTGTAAGCACCTCTGTACTGGTTCTGACACCTCCCCGGTCTCCTAACTAGTTCAGGAGTTAAACAAAATCTTGGACCCATGCTCATTTACTTTGCCCAGAGCCTTGGCACCTGGGCATGGCTGGATATGCGAACCACAGTGAGGACGGGCTCAGATCTGAAGCTGAGGGGTGGCGTTGACAGCTACGAGACAGGGTGTCTGCCCGCACGATATCACCTGACATCTATCGCCACTTCTGTAGGTAAAGCATATCTCCATTCTACATGGGATGGGTGATGGAGTTCTGTCCCCAAGGCCCCAGGACTAGGATTTGAACATAGGTAGCTGGCTCAAGAACCTTCACTCTGGAGAACCAGTTGTTCTCCATGTGGGGACATCTGGCCAAGACCGGGGACCATCGCAACTCAAGGTGGGCCCCCCATAGCAAAGACTCATCAGGCCTCACATGTCCTAGTGCCAAGGTTGAGAGAGGCACTGTCACCCTGCAGACTAGCTGGGCCTCCACCTCCTGCATTGCATGCATCTTGGTGGCCCGACTCACACCCGCATGATCCAGCTGCTGGTAATGATCTGCTCTGTCTACACTGCTGTCCCTACATCACATGCTCCATGTTTTGTTCCCCGCTATGCTGGCAGTGTTCACACTGACAGCTGGCAAAGGAAATGTTCGATAAACATCCGCTCACATTTATTCTATGATTTCTGATGTACCTAGGCTCCCATTGGAAAAAAACCTCAAGGATGTGCGACAGAGGAGGAGGATGAGAAAGCGTGACTTTTCCATTTTACAGATTTATACCACACGGGAGGAGCATTATTGCATTTTGCCTATGAAATCAGAGCAGAGAACCCAAAACCAGCATCTGAACTTCAAGCCCTGATGGAGGCTAATTTTTCGTTGTCCTTGAAGCTAATCAAGCCTGCGGAAACAGCATCACCAAATTGACTAAATGAGATTTTCAATTAACTCAAACAGATGGCTTAAATTTTCCAGGTGACTTTCCATATTAATTCAGAGAGTTTGCTGGACCAGGCCCTGGGAGGGCCTAGCAGGGATGGGGGCTGAGAGAAAAACAATCAAACACTGAATCTTCGGGAGAGAAGACAAAGCAAAACCTCGAACTTTTCTTTGGCCCCAGCAAATGCATCATCAGCCAAATTGATTCAACTCCTCCCCTTCCCTACTGGCCAGCACACACACGGAAGGCACTGGGAACCCCTGGGCCAGGCTCTCAGGGGCCAGCTCATAGCCTCTGGGGACATTGTGACCCTGGAATGCAGAGGAGACCCATCCTGGGCAGGAAGACAGGTAGCGAGGAGCCATGTATGGAGCACAGGAGTCTGTGCTGCCCAAGGACCTCAGCATTTTACTTTCTAATGAGCAGGAAAAGTGAAAGAACCTCCGTGGAAGTCTGCAGAGGCTCAAGCTTATGAGGTGTGAGCAGACGGGTCTCACTAAGGAGGTCACTGCAGGAGACCACCCCACTCACAGAAGACCAGCAGTACCAAGTACCCAAGCACCCAGCCCTGGGCAGAGCCTGTGGAGGAGCCTCAGTGGCTGGGGCCACAGCATCTGCCCTTCCAGAAGCTGCTCGAACCTACTAATTATAGTAAAGGCCTGGGTTAGAGTTATGGCAAAATTTGGGGTGGGTTTCCATGGAGTCTCAGAACGAGTCATTCTTGGCTTGACTGGGCCCATTTCTAGACTTTGAAGGTCTATCAATGAGTGGGTCCTGGTGCCTGTACAGTGGGCTCCTCTTTTTTCAGCCTCCCATCAATAGCTCACCATGGAAGGATGATGTAAGTAGGCTCTGCAAGTATCCTCAGTCCCCAGGCTGAGTTTGAACTTTGGGATAGGATGAAACTGATATTCAGAGCACTTTGGCTAGAGAGATCCTACTCAGTTGTTTTGATTTATTAAAAAAAAAAAATCTACCTAAACCCGATGTTAATGATAACAGGACAGTTACCTTTGTCAATGTGTCTCAACATCTCCCAGGCTATCTCACCAACCAGGAGATGTGGCTTATTGGAATATAGGCTTTACCACGAGTCGCGGGAGCTGGCAAAGTAAAGCTTTGCAAAGTAAAGTTCTGAAGTGCTGCTCTTAAATGGGGAGCCATTTACAGGACGACCCAATTACATGTATTTTCATGGGGTGGGGGGAGATTGCATCCATTCACTCAGTGGGTGTTCTCTAGCACCTCCCTTGTGAGCTGATGTGCCTGGCTGGAGGCGTGCGGCGGACCACACGTGCCCCTTCCCAAGGAGCCCAGCCTCCCCGGGAGGGTGCTCTGCTCCCGATTAACGTAAGAAATAGCAGTACTGGTTTGAAGGAGGTTCCTTTGCAGAAAACCAAACCACTGCTTCATGAAGCAGTAATGAAAGCTTTAGAAAACATTACCTTTTTCCCGGATGTTTAAATTAGCAGTAAAATGAATCTGGAGAGACCATGTAAATGAATGTTCATCTTATTATTGTTATTTTTTTTTTAACATAATGGAGAAAAGGAAGCAGACCTCATCCGTGGATCATCCGGTGGCATCATCTCCAGATCGTGGGTGGGTCCATTTAAGCCGATGACGTGTAGGGAAATGCTGGGGTTTTCACAGCCAGCCTGTGAAGTAAAAGGGAGGAGGTGTGAGTGAGCCTTCCTGTGGGGTGGCGCCTTACTGCTGCAAAGCCCGCCCTCCCCAGGAGATGCCCAGGCAGGACTCGGGGTGGGGGGCTTTGGGGTTAGTACTCCTGAGCACAACTGGCTGAGAGCAGGTCGCCCATGCACAGAACCTGACGGAGAGCAAGAGGTAACTGGGCCGGTGCCATTCCTTCCCCAGAAACCCTACTCCCTTCTCGTTCCTCCCAGAACCTCTGATTATTATCATGAGCTCTGGAAAAGGAACCAGACAAGGGGTAGGAGAGGAATTCCTGGAGGTGATGCCCAGAGGTGGTGAGGCAGGCCAGATGAACTTTGGCCGTGGCCCAACGTGGGGGAAAGGGAAGTCCCTGGAAAAGGGGCTGGGTGGGTTCTGCTCCACATCACTGTTCCCCGCACCGAGCTCCCTCCTCTAGGGGAACAGCACCACTTGGAAGGGGAAGATGTGTCAGTCCACATCAGCGGGACTGCTAGGTCTGGCTGACACCCTCATTTCCTCTGTACCCTACATGCATACATGTCGGGTTTGCCAGGATGGGGCAGGAGTCTGGCGGGTTCACCATCTCATGCCTCTGACATAGGAGAGGGTACGATAGACAAGGGGCACCTGAATTCTGGGCATTCTCTTGGCCAGCATATGTTGCCTTTCCACGAAAACACGAACCATCTGAGGTATCATAATTCCAATTTCGCCTAGCTCAGGGTTCACTGGAAAACAAAGATGACTTTTGGGTCATTGGGGAAACCCCTGTAAAAAGGTTTACCAGGGAAACCACTGCATGTCTGGGTGGTTTGATGAGTCAGGCGGCCACTGGCCACACTGGGCACATGGGGTGGGGAGTAGAAGGGTCCAAATATTGGGCATTATTTAAAGGTTTCAGCATTATTTAAAGGTTTCTGAGTAAAATTCTGGACTCTTACACATGATATAGAGTTAAGTTCAATCCAGACCAGCTGAAAAAGGATTGAGAGAATTTTGTCCACAGGCAAACCCATGTGGTGTGTTGACATGTAGACGCTCCCAGAACGGGAGAACAGCAGAGATGAAGGCTGTGCCCTGAGAGCTGGGACCTCCCTGGATAGCGGCCACACCAATCGAAAAGCTACGGGAAAGGCTCAGGATCACCAGGTACTGTGGACTGAACGTCTGAGTCCCCCATTCCCCAATTCAAAATTCCTATGTCAAAGCCCCAACCTCCACAGTGATGGTATCTGGAACTGAGGCCTTGGGGAGGTGGTTATGGTTGGGGAGGTCATGAGCATGGGGCCCCATGATGGGATTAGTGCCCTCATACAGAGAGAAAGAGACACCCGAGCTCACTCGCTCTCGGCCATGTGAGGACACAGGGTCTGCAAGCCAGAAACTGGGTCCTCACCAGAACCCACCTTACTGGCTCCCTGACCTCAGACTCCGAGTCTCCAGGGCTCTGAGAAATAAATGTTTGTCCTATGGATCCTGAGATGACTGTACACCAGGTGTTTCTTTTATCTGGCCTGGGGCTCTGGGCACCTCATTGGCCTCACTTGTACATCGCTGCCCCTCTTGCTGCCAACTGCAGGTTGGCACGTCTTGTATTCCTGGTACACGAGGCCTGTGGCCTCAGCTCTCCAAGCCGTCTGGTGTTTGGGGAGCTGTGGCTCCATGCTCGCTGGCTGAGGTTTGAGGGGTCCTTCCAAGGCAGCCCCAGATGGGAAAGCGAGCGCTCTGTCACCAGGCAGGTGGAGGCAGGGAGCAGCTCATGTCTGCCTGGCCCATGGGCCTTGGTGGGGTCTAATGAAGCTGGTGGGTAGCCCGGTGGCCGCAGCCATCCTGCCAGACAGCAGCGTCTCTCCAGTTGAGTGGGCTGCATAAAATTTGGTGTCAGGTCCTCCCTTCATGCCAGGATGCTGTAATTCGCTAACAAAGCAAGGGTTAGACACGTGGACCCCCTCCATACTCAACTGCACCCTTGCAGTTCTCTGTGCCAACAACTGGTCCAGGAAGCACTTAGAGCCTGCAGGTCAGAATACGGCCAAGCACAAAACAGCCCGGCCCAGACCCAGGGGACCAGTGGCAGACAGAGGTCCCTCTGACCGCCCAGAAGCCATGTTCTAACATGGGGATTTGAAGAGAGAGAGCCCCAGGAGCAGGCAGTGGGAGTTCTTGTTGCCATGGCATCACAGGTGGAGGTAACGTATTTATTTTGGTTCTAATGAAGCTTAGACAAATGATTAACAGTAGTTCAATTATTTAAAATAGAATAAACCTGCCAACAAATTCAACTCAGCAAAGATGGGAATTTAATGCAATGTAATAGGGAATAATTAATCTTGTCTCTGTTTACTGCATTGCTGGTAACACGTCTGATTATATAGCTCCACATCTGGAGTCGCCTGGGTTGGAGGATGCTGATGGAAAAGGCGGAGCATTTGTTGTACCGTTACCCCTCGCCTACCTTAGGGTAGTGGTAGGGCTTCACAGTGGGGTAGATGGAGCCGGTGTAGGTTGGGAGCTCCATGATAGGCACGCGGGAGTCGTTGATGGTGGCGTAGGCGAGCCTCGTGCCATCTGGGGACCACCAGTGGGCGATGTGAGTCTTCAAAATCTCCTCTAGGGGAAAACAAAGAGGGGGAAATGTAGAGAGGCAAGACATGGAGCACGAAACAGTGCTGCATGAGCATGTCTGCGAGCTGGTCAGCGAACCATGAATCCCCTTGGGGACATTCATCTTCTGCAACCTTTGAGTGGTCTTCACCGTGTCCTGGGTATGCCCTCATTCCACGGGGGCTTGAGGAATGTCTGGTGCTGACCACCAAACCCCAGCACGGTGAAGCCCAATAAATCATGGTCCAACTGAACAGAAGCTCATTGTCTGGAAAACTCTATTTTTATTTTTTGCACACATTTGAACACTATCAGCCCAACATGTGCTTTTTGAATCTTATTATTATTGCACCACTGTGGGTTATGATTTTAAGATGCTTTAAAAAAGCAGAACCACAGGAAATCAATCCACAGGGAAGCAGGACACATCCAGGCAGAACCAAGGGAGAAAGTAAGCTATACAGGAGGCTGCATCCCAGGTCAGCTTGCAAAAGATGCCTGGGGGTTGGTGCCTGCACACGCACCCCCTCATGAGCAGCTGTGCAAAAGGAGAATGTGCTCAAGCATCAGCACCCTCCTCAGCCTTAAAGAAATGGTGAAATTCACCTGCTGTGGCACAGAAGCAACATGGCCCCATCTTCAACAGGGCTAGAATGGAAATGACAATTCTCATAGTCCCCCCCCATTATTGTGTCTTGGTTAATTAGAGTTAGCTATGGATGAGTTTTGTGGGGTCTGATGTCTACTCCGGAAAGAACAATTAATTCTATTCTGCTCGAACACCTTCTAAGTTACCAAGTCAGGGTGCTGGGTGATGAAGTTCTGGAATATAGGTGAGGTCCAGAGCTGACAACCAAGAAAGAATTCTCGAGACATCTTTGGTGCAAAATGGTGGTTTTATTAAAGCCCAAGGCCAGGACCTGTGGGCAGGAAGAGCGGCTACCCTGGGCCTGTGAAGGGTGGCTCATTATATACCTGGGAGCTGGGAGGGATTTGGGGATTGCGCGCTCTCTACGGAATTTTGGAAGCAGGGTTTCCAGGACCAAGAGGGGGTAGCTATTGTTGGGGAAAGGTCACTGATTCCCACCTAATTAAACCTGAGTCATGAGACCCGTCAGATGTGTAGGGGTGGGCCATGTGCTTGGGGGGTGATCACCAACGCGTTCCTTGGGGGTTTAGAGACAAAGGAAATTTCCAAAGGAGTTTTTATATGTTAAAGTAGACCTTCTTGCAAGATACATCCATGAAGGCAAGGGAAACAAAAGCAAAATGAATCATTGGGACTTCATCAAGATAAAAAGCTTCTGCACAGCAAAAGAAACACTCAACAAAACTCAAAGACAACCTACAGAATGGGAGAGGATATTTGCAAATGACGTATCTGATAAAGGGCTAGTTTCCAAGATCTATAAAGAACTTATTAAACTCAACACCAAAGAAACAAACAATCCAATCATGAAATGGGCAAAAGACATGAACAGAAATCTCACAGAGGAAGACATGGACATAGCCAACATGCACATGAGAAAATGCTCTGCATCACTTGCCATCAGGGAAATACAAATCAAAACCACAATGAGATACCACCTCACACCAGTGAGAATGGGGAAAATTAACAAGGCAGGAAACCACAAATGTTGGAGAGGATGTAGAGAAAGGGGAACCCTCTTGCACTGTTGGTGGGAATGTGAACTGTGCAGCCACTCTGGAAAACTGTGTGGAGGCTCCTCAGAGAGTTAAAAATAGACCTGCCCTACAATCCAGCAATTGCACTGGTGGAGATGTACCCCAAAGATACAGATGCAGTGAAACGCGGGGACACCTGCACCCCAATGTTTATAGCAGCATTGTCCACAATAGTCACGCTGTGGAAGGAGCCTCGGTGTCCATCAAAAGATGATGGATAAAGAAGATGTGGTCTCTGTATACAATGGAATATTACTCAGCCATCAGAAACGACAAATACCCTCCATTTGCTTCGACATGGATGGAACTGGAGGGTATTATGCTGAGTGAAATAAGTCAATCGGAGAAGGACAAACATTATATGGTCTCATTCATTTGGGGAATATAAAAAATAGTGAAAGGGAATAAAGGGGAAAAGAGAGAAAATGAGTGGGAAATATCAGACAGAGTGACAGCACAGAAGAGACTCCTAACTCTGGGAAACGAACAAGGGGTGGTGGAAAGGGAGGAGGGCAGTGGGTGGGGGTGACTGGGTGACGGGCACTGAGGGGGGGCACTTGACGGGATGAGCACTGGGTGATATGCTATATGTTGGCAAATTGAACTCCAATTAAAAAAAAAAAAGTAGACCTACAGGCTCCTGGGGGTCGGGCTAAGATGGCCTTTCGCCCTCAGCACAGTATGAACATGGAGGCAGTTGAGTTCCTAGAGGAATGTCCCTCTGCCTGTCTCAAGGGCTTGTTAATGTGCTGCCATGGGCTCATGCCTTGTCCTCAGCTAACCCTGTGTTCCCCATCACTGGGGACCAGAGACCCCATCTCGGTGCTGAACTGCTCTTAGGTCAAGGGATTGCCATGTACACCACCTATTTGTATTATAAATGAACTCCCCCTCAGATTTGTTTTACATTAATGGTCAATGTGATTACAGAATCACAGAATATAAGTCACACTGAACTGGTTGTTACTAGGTGTGTGCCATACACTGGCTCTGTGTGCCCGTGGTGACACAAAGGCCATCAAGGGCCCGGAAATCAGCTGAGAAAATGAAGTGAGCTAATGTGACACAAGGGACAGCAATGTACATTGGAACGAAGGCAAGGGGACAGCAGAAGGAGGGGTCATGGCGGGGTCGGGGGGATGGGACAAGGAGAAAAGGAGGGAGCTGGGCCAGGCTGTGTGGCAGGGGGCCGGGTTGGAGGGGAAGCACCACGGGCATCAGATGGCTGCAAGGTGGACACTGGGGCTCACGGCCACGTCTTGGGGACCCTGTGTACCGCAGCTGTGGAGGTGTTCACCATTGAGCCCAGGCCAGCAAGTAGGGTAGGCTGCAAACCCTTGATACTGGGTGTGGGGGCTGCCTGAAGGCGCAGCTGTCCCTCCGCCCCGGGCTCACTGGCCTGGTGGGGGGAGCCCCAGTGTATGGGCACCTGCACAGTGAGTGTATTCTCATATCCCTGCCTTCCACATGTTTTCCTGCAGGCTGCCAGCTGCTGCCAGGACCCTCCACTCGAGGCAATGTGGGTTTGCTACTTGACTGGTCGCCAGATGGCCAAGTGTCACCCAACACCCAGCACTCTTGTCCCCCGCATGTGCACCAGGTCCAAACCTGGGGCTTAGTGGACAATAGATTAAGGATGCAGAGTCCCTAGCCCTTGAACAAGGCCCCTCTGTCCAAGGAGGGCCTGGCAGCTGCCCCTCACAGCCCCACCTCCAGAGTCCTGCCACCTCGGGGCATCCCAAGGAAGGGTACAGAAGCCCAAAGGTCTCCTGAGGTTAAAAAAAAAAAAAAAAGGAAGGAAGAAGGCAACCTCTCCAGAGCCTGTAAGTTTCCAGCATCTCCAGCAGCCAGCAAAGTGACTTTCAGGTGTGAGTCTGGAATGAGGTGATTCAGAAGTGACTGTACACACAGCCACCTGACTCCTCTGCTTGGCGCACTGGATGGTGAGTAATAGACTCCAGCAGATGGTCCGCTGGAAAAAAAATAGGCACCATTTGCAATGCAATTTGCGGTGATTCTGCTCAATCATTTCTGTGCTGCAGGGCTGGGGGGAGGGAGCCAATCAAGGCGAGTGGAATCACAGAGAGTGAGCAGAATTGAAGGGGTGCAGGGAAGGAAGCAGAGTCTGCCCAAATCAGTGGCTTTTCATGGCACATGAAGTTGTGGCCAGCTCCGGATTATCCCAGTAGAGGAATGGCTGGCTGACCAGGGCTTTATAGAGGAAGCAGCTTTTGACAAAAACAAAACACCACTACAACCCCCAGAGATGACTCTGTTCTTCTCTTTGGACCTAGAGCAATCCCCTAAAATGGGAGGGATGCCAAGTGCACATCCTTGTGCAAAGTGACACCAAGCCCACGTTGGATAGGCCCCCAACGCTCAGTGGCAGTGGCAGGCCACTGGGGGCAGGCCAGTAAGGGAGCCAGCTTCCCATTCCCACCCTTCTTTGTGTGCATCCCGCTTCCAGACTCGCCCTCAGGAGAGAGAATGAACATGGGGTGAAGGCCTGGCCTGACTTCGTGCACAGAGGGTCATCTGTTTCCATCAGTTCCATCAGCAAATGCCAGTACCCTTCCACCATGCTCAATGCACCATGCAGAGAATCTGAATGCAAAAAATAAAGGGTCACTTCAGACTATATAGCACATGCTGGGTGGAAGGGAATTCAGAGACCATGTAGCTCAGCGATGACAAACATCTGGCATGTGTGTTGGCAAATGTTAGTTCCTTTCGCTCCCATCCCATGGCGAGATGATGGACAACGGGAAGGGGTCTGGCCTGCAGGGGCTAGGTCACACAGGACAGGGGGCGGGTGTGGGGGGAGCTGCCTACTTTCCCCAAATGCCCTGTAACGCATTGCTCCTTGGCATTTTTATTCTTCTCTGTGTTAGCTGCTCAGTAAAGACATAATTGAGTGTAAATAAGGGGAGAAGGACCAGGCCGATGAGACAGTTGGCCTTTTTGTGTTAATTATGAACGTCTCTATTCTGCAAACAGTTTCTCCAGGATCTCCGGCTCCATAAGGCGGTTGGCTTACATGCCGTGGACCAAATGCAGCTTAAGGACAGGGTTCTGCAGAGGAACAAAAGCGATCTCATCAACTAAATTACCTGACGAGCCCTTGTCTTGCAGCAAAACAAGCAGCTTGCCTTTCTGAGCTATTTTAAGTAACTGGAGAAACTAGACATTGCACCTGGCCTTCACCTCACCTGTCCTGTCCAGGGACCATTTTAGAATCAAACAAGAAAAATACATTCGGAGCCATTAACGAGTCACGACCGCCACTCCTTCAAGCAGCAGAAAGATCCATCCACGCGCTT